TTATTATGTATTCGTTTCTGTGTGTATTTATTCATGTGTTATTCTCCCCCCTGCAGGCTGCCCCCCCCCCCGTATCTCACATTCGATTAAACAGTTTATAAAATTAGAATATTTTTGTGAATTTATCATTTTCTTTTCCATTATTTATTTATTTGTTTGTGTATTTATGTTGCAGGCTGTCCCCCTTTCTCTTTCTGCTGATCTGGTTCTGCTTGATCGGGGTTCTGTCTACCGGAAGCTGGACCTGATCAAAGGGAGGCGTGTGGCGCAGTGGACTATAGTGTGTTGGTGTTGGGATCAGGGGAGCACAGGTTCAAACCCCACTGCAGTCAGCATGTCGTTGTGTCCCTGAGACACTTCACCCCAAAGTGCTCCTGTGGGGATTGTCCACAGTATTGAGTATGGAAGTCAAGTGACATGTAATGTAATGTAATCAAAGAGCTCTGCGCTGCCCTGGGCATCGTCTGAAGGAGAAAGGTCAAAGGTGAAAGGTCAAGGAAACAAGACGGTTAATGTGACTAAAAATAAACATCAGAGGAAATGTGCTCGTGTCTTGTCTTTAGTAAAGTATAGAGTTTTTATAGTTTAATATATTATTCTGATTTAGTTTTTAGTGCATGTAAATGGTCTGCAGAGGCTAAAATCCCTGTGTTCCTTCCAGAGGAGTTTCTCTCCAACACACTCCAATTCTGACTTTTCTCAAGTTTCTGACTTTTTTCCTACAAAAATCAGACTTTCTCCTCAGAATGATCTTTCTCGACTTTTCTTCCTAAAATAGATTTTTTACGACAAATAATGACTTTTTTCTTACAATTTCGACTTTCTCTAAATCCTGTCTTTTCTCTAAATTCTAACTTTTTCAAAAGATTCAGACTTTTTTCTTACAGCATTTTTTCTAAGACTTTTAAATTAGATTTGTAATCAAATTCTGTCTTTTCTCAAAATTCAGGTTTTTCATTCATATTTTCCAGAAAAATTCGAACTATTCTCGAAATTATTATTATTTTGTTTTAAGTTCAGACTTATTTCTCTAAATTATGACTTTTTTCCGAGATTTGTTTCAAAATTCAATCTTTTTCTCACTTTTCTGTATTTCTTACTTTGAATTCTGACTTTTCCCAAATGTCTCACTTTTTAAAACCATTTAGAGGAATCGACCAATCAGATGAGGCCTTTATCCGGGACCTGCCCCCCTGGGATAGGTCAGGGCGGGCCCGGCGCCACGAGGGGGCAAAAGGGGGCATTGCCCCCTCAGTTGTATTCTTTGCCCCCTCACTTTGAGCATCATTAATCAAAAAGTAAAATAAATGTCACAATTATTAAATAACTTTAAATAATTATTTCCCCCAAAACACGTTACTATGTTTGGATCAGATATGTTGGCAGGCAAGTGAGCTTGTAGTCTTAATTAATGTTAGTGTGTGTGCTTAGCTGTAAACACAGTCGGATGGGTAACCAAGACGTCCCCGTTTTCCGGGCAAAGTCCCCGTTTTCGGTGGCCGGTACCCGGTTGAAACTCCCGAAAATGTTCCCGTTTTTGAATGTGCGTTAAAAAACATAGAGCACGGTGAAATAAAATGTTACATGTCAGTAAAAACAGTGTTGTGCCTGTTTGTAGCGTTAGCGTATTTCTTCTTCTACTACTTCTTCTTCTTCTTCTTCTACCTCTTCTTCTTCTTCTTCTTCTTCTTCTTCTTTTTCTTCTTCTTCTTCTTCTCCTTCTTCTAATTCAATGTACCTTCCCGCAAAATATTGGACAAAAGAAACTCGGCTAGTTGTGTCAACTAAATCCATAGTATTACAACAAAAGTGCTTTAAACGAGGTAAGTTACAAATGTATGTTCTCAATCGCCATGTGTGGGATTGAATATTAAATTAGTTTAGATTTATTTAGGGCTGCCTGTATGAATCAGGTTTTTGCCAAAGCGAGCCCTTTTACTATAATAATAATATGTGATGTATTATATAAACCGTATGGGTACAATGAGCGACATCTAGTGGCGGATTGTGGAACATTGATCTGATTTTTCTCCTGGCTGTTAGACTCTAGACAAACCAGGGGACTTTATGTTTAATCTGTGTCGGTCCATTTGGTGTAGTATTTGATCCAATATTACATTTGGTTTATATATTAGTCACTTGCTTATGAAATGCCAGGTTTTAGGCCTTGGTTTGAACATTCAATCCGTGAAATAAAAAATCAACCAGATTAATTTTTCTTTAATCCTGAGATAGAGTAGATAGTAAGTAAGTCTGATAGGAAGACGAGTTAAGGGATCGAGGAGAAAAGGTTATGGTATAATTACAGAGCCTGTCAATTTATAAATGGAGGAAATCAATGTTAGTCTGTTAACCAAAGTGCAGCCATCTAATAATGTACTATCTATCATTAAAGATCAGGGGGAAAGAACAGAACGAGAGGGGTCAATCCAGAATAAAAATAAAGAAGCAAAGAGATTTTAGAGCAGTGAGAAGGAAGCTTGGTGTGTCAATTCATTACATTGACAGTTTTTTCCGTTGTTGTGAAAAAGAAATCGCCCCTCTGATTTTTTAACAGCTCCCTCAGTCATTTCATCCTGGAGCCGGGCCTGGGTCAGGGTCATGTCACGGGAAGCTTCTGACCAATCAAATCACACCATATGACATCATCAACGCTAGCGACTTGTAGTCATGGATATTTAGAGGTTTGAGGATCACTAAATTACCGCAGAAACAGCGACTCTGAATTAAAAGATGGGACAAAGCAGCTCAAAGACTTCAGAGAGGAGAGAGGGCGAGGATGAATGCAGAGCGTGCAGAGATCTATAAGGTCGCGAGGAGCTGAAGGCTGAGATGCTCCGACATTAATGACCGCTTTAAGTGAGACAGGAGGTCTTCTCCAAACAAGGTGAGTGGAACGAGATAGATCAATAACTGACTGGATAGTGACACGTCGTTTAGGATCGATAAACACCTGAGGCGTGTGCGTGCGCCTCTGAGCAGCAGGTAGAGATCCATTTAAGAGGATCTGATGAAGTGTTCTCATATAAGAGGAGATTTGTCTCATCATTATTTGTGTGAACAGAAAAATAATTTGTGTGTAAATATGTGATTTGTAAATGTGAAACACCATCCACAAATGCATTTAAAAGATTTGCAAACTCACAAATACATTTGTAAATGTAAAACGGATCTGAAAATACACTAAATATTTTCACAAATAAAATAAAGACCTGTGAATATCTCTTTAACATTGACAACTTTCGATCATGCATTTGTGAATCCATTTTGTATTTGTCGACCAAAAATGCACTCGCGGATCTCATCTCTCTGCTCGTGGATCTCAACTCTCTGCTCGTGGATCTCTCTGCTCGTGGATCTCAACTCTACTCGTGGATCTCAACTCTCTGCTCGTGGATCTCAACTCTACTCGTGGATCTCATCTCTCTGCTCGTGGATCTCAACTCTCTGCTCGTGGATCTCTCTGCTCGTGGATCTCAACTCTACTCGTGGATCTCATCTCTCTGCTCGTGGATCTCAACTCTCTGCTCGTGGATCTCTCTGCTCGTGGATCTCAACTCTACTCGTGGATCTCAACTCTCTGCTCGTGGATCTCAACTCTACTCGTGGATCTCATCTCTCTGCTCGTGGATCTCAACTCTCTGCTCGTGGATCTCTCTACTCGTGGATCTCAACTCTCTGCTCGTGGATCTCAACTCTACTCGTGGATCTCAACTCTCTGCTCGTGGATCTCAACTCTACTCGTGGATCTCAACTCTCTGCTCGTGGATCTCATCTCTCTGCTCGTGGATCTCAACTCTCTGCTCGTGGATCTCAACTCTCTGCTCGTGGATCTCTCTGCTCGTGGATCTCAACTCTACTCGTGGATCTCAACTCTCTGCTCGTGGATCTCAACTCTACTCGTGGATCTCAACTCTCTGCTCGTGGATCTCATCTCTCTGCTCGTGGATCTCATCTCTACTCGTGGATCTCATCTCTCTGCTCGTGGATCTCAACTCTCTGCTCGTGGATCTCAACTCTACTCGTGGATCTCAACTCTCTGCTCGTGGATCTCAACTCTACTCGTGGATCTCAACTCTCTGCTCGTGGATCTCTCTGCTCGTGGATCTCAACTCTCTGCTCGTGGATCTCAACTCTACTCGTGGATCTCAACTCTCTGCTCGTGGATCTCAACTCTACTCGTGGATCTCATCTCTCTGCTCGTGGATCTCTCTACTCGTGGATCTCAAATCTCTGCTCGTGGATCTCAACTCTCTGCTCGTGGATCTCTCTGCTCGTGGATCTCAACTCTCTGCTCGTGGATCTCAACTCTCTGCTCGTGGATCTCAACTCTCTGCTCGTGGATCTCAACTCTACTCGTGGATCTCATCTCTCTGCTCGTGGATCTCTCTACTCGTGGATCTCATCTCTCTGCTCGTGGATCTCAACTCTACTCGTGGATCTCAACTCTCTGCTCGTGGATCTCAACTCTACTCGTGGATCTCAAATCTCTGCTCGTGGATCTCTCTGCTCGTGGATCTCAACTCTCTGCTCGTGGATCTCAACTCTCTGCTCGTGGATCTCAACTCTCTGCTCGTGGATCTCAACTCTCTACTCGTGGATCTCAACTCTCTGCTCGTGGATCTCAACTCTCTGCTCGTGGATCGTCTTTTTACACACACAGAGTTTTGAGACAACCTTTCTGCCGGTCTCGGCAAAAATCTACTCGTGTCACTCGGTTATTTTCGGAAACCACGTGATGGCCTGCTGATGACGACATTTCTGCATGATTTCAAAGTGAGAGCATGATGGTTCGTTTAATGCTCTGTTTTTGTATTATAATGAACAGCGGAACGTTAGATGCATTCTTCATCACCATCATCATCATGTTGAGTGATACAGTTAGTTTGTGTTAGTTTATTGGTTCAATACGGCATATGTCGAGCACTTTCGTATGCATTGATGTTGAAGTACAGGCTATGCCACTTTCGGGTCCCGGGGGAGCAGCTGGCAGCGAAGCAGCCCAGAGGAAACTCTTTCTTCATTGTTTTTTGTGTATTCATTCAAGGGGGTCAAAGTTACAAAGCACTTCACATCTTATTAATCGGCCTAGTTTTACTTTACCAGTGCAGTGGTAAGGCTAAAAAAGCACCGTATTTAGGTTAGCCTTAAAGTAAACAGATATGGTTCTAAACTGTATTGAAGTAAACATGTATTATTTTGAATTGTATTTTAGTGAACATGTATTGTTTGAACTGTTTTAAGTAATCACATATATACATAATGTATTCTCACTTACAACTCACTGACCCAGAGATCCTGTTACACACACATACACCTCCGTCCA